ATATTAGTAGTAATAATAATAAGGCAAACATCTTATATCTGTCAAATACTTACATGAATTGGAGCAAAGAGTGCAAGATTGATCTTAAAAACAGAATCATCAGAAAGTCTTAACTGTTATTGCAAAACCTGTCTTTCTGGTTCACTGTTATACAGTGGATGGGTAGGAAAGGTTATGTTAACAAACACAGGGATTCATCAAAATGAAAAATTATATAATACTTTTTCTGGGACAATTTTTTTTATCCTCTTAAATTTTGATAAGCAACTGATTTTATCCAATGTGTAGACAATGAAACATTTTGTAAAATGTTGATGCCACGTTAATGCAGACGGAGGTACTTGCTGCAGTTAATACAAATCATTATCTATTGACAATCACACTCAATCTGGTGATTGCAAGAAAAAGGAACCAAGAATTTATACAATGAACATTTCATGCCTATTACGGATGCTTGGGAAAGAATATGGACAAATTCAAGTAATAATCAGATCATTCAATGAGAGCATTTTATGCAAGAAAGAAATCTGTGGTGAAATATGTAAGAAATTTGCATCTTTTAATCTAATTTCATTCGAGAGAAGGTTAGTCACTTGCAAAGTGTGTCAAGTGACAGTTGCTTGTTCAGGAGAAATGTCACTGTAGACAGTATCAGTCACCTGTAGACAGTATCAGTCACCTGTAGACAGTATCAGTCACCTGTAGACAGTATCAGTCACCTGTAGAGGATCAGTCACCTGTAGACAGTATCAGTCACCTGTAGAGGATCAGTCACCTGTAGACAGTATCAGTCACTTGTAGACAGTATCAGTCACCTGTAGACAGTATCAGTCACCTGTAGAGGATCAGTCACCTGTAGACAGTATCAGTCACCTGTAGACAGTATCAGTCACCTGTAGACAGTATCAGTCACCTGTAGACAGTATCAGTCACCTGTAGACAGTATCAGTCACCTGTAGAGGATCAGTCACCTGTAGACAGTATCAGTCACCTGTAGACAGTATCAGTCACCTGTAGACAGTATCAGTCACATGTAGAGGATCAGTCACATGTAGAGGATCAGTCACCTGTAGACAGTATCAGTCACCTGTAGACAGTATCAGTCACCTGTAGACAGTATCAGTCACCTGTAGACAGTATCAGTCACATGTAGAGGATCAGTCACCTGTAGACAGTATCAGTCACCTGTAGACAGTATCAGTCACCTGTAGACAGTATCAGTCACCTGTAGACAGTATCAGTCACATGTAGAGGATCAGTCACCTGTAGACAGTATCAGTCACCTGTAGACAGTATCAGTCACCTGTAGACAGTATCAGTCACATGTAGAGGATCAGTCACATGTAGAGGATCAGTCACCTGTAGACAGTATCAGTCACCTGTAGACAGTATCAGTCACCTGTAGACAGTATCAGTCACCTGTAGACAGTATCAGTCACATGTAGAGGATCAGTCACCTGTAGACAGTATCAGTCACCTGTAGACAGTATCAGTCACCTGTAGACAGTATCAGTCACCTGTAGACAGTATCAGTCACCTGTAGACAGTATCAGTCACCTGTAGACAGTATCAGTCACCTGTAGACAGTATCAGTCACTTGTAGACAGTATCAGTCACCTGTAGACAGTATCAGTCACCTGTAGACAGTATCAGTCACCTGTAGACAGTATCAGTCACATGTAGAGGATCAGTCACCTGTAGACAGTATCAGTCACCTGTAGACAGTATCAGTCACTTGTAGACAGTATCAGTCACCTGTAGACAGTATCAGTCACCTGTAGAGGATCAGTCACCTGTAGACAGTATCAGTCACCTGTAGACAGTATCAGTCACCTGTACAGAAGTTCAGTCACCTGCCCAGAAGTTCAGTCACCTGTACTGAAATTCAGTCACCTCTAGACATCATCTGTCACCTGTACAAAATGTCAGTGTCCTGTACATAGATTCAGTCACCTGTACAGAAGTTCAGTCACCTGTACAGAAGATCAGTCACATGGATACATTAAAAGGAAGTAAGATATGGCAAGTCCAAGTTTTGCAATAACAGATAGTGATTTGATATTAAATTATTTTGAAAATAAAGTCTAGAAAATGGATACAGCAGTATTATATTACTGATATCAATGATCAGCAGTGATAAGACATATGATACACTGTGGAACAGATGATCACTCTACAAAAAACATGTAATGCAGTTCTGCATGGAATGTATCATTTAAACATCAGTAACACATTTTAACATTTGATTATGTTAAACTTCAATACTTTTTTTTTTGGAATTTTTTTTCTATTTACCTCTCTCACTCCCTTTTCTCTTCTAACAAATACAAAAAATAACATATTTTTTGCATTTTTAACTTTTTTTTGTAAAATCTACATATATTTTGACAAGAGCTCAATTAATTTGTGTTAGTTTACAAAATATACATAGATGACACAGAGTAACCAATACACATATACAACACTGGAGATCTAAACATATGCCCTCAAAGGGGCCTAATACCTAACACAGACTCACAGGTATACAACTTATGAACAACATTAGCACTAGCAATCTTTTGGAAGCAAACAGATTTTGCACTTTGCAAAAAACATTCTTAAATAACAACAATCATTACATGTAAACTAAAAGTTCGCCATTTTATTCTACAGTTTGGCATGCGAGACATTTTTATTTTGATATGGTACAAAAATTAACAGATTAAAATATTTCTCATTTCTATTCTTTAACAAAAATGCTTGCACCGTCATCTAAAAAAAAAAAAAAAAAAAAGTGAGATCAAAAATGATATACATAGGACTCAATAAAATGGATTTGATCAAAGCAACACTGGAGTGTTGACTGTTTAGTGATAATTTGTTGTAGAACTCACAGGGAAGTAAATAATACAGCAATTTATCACAGCAAACAAATGGAAGGTAAGACAAAGTCTTGGTGGGATGCTACTCAACAAAATGGAAGAGTTATCTTTCTTGAATCATTCAAAACAACAAATATAACAATTTTCTATCAATAATAATATACTGTCAGTGCAGAAACCTTTATAATTCCTGAACAAAACACTTGAAAATTCTTCTAAAATTAGCCTTTGGCAATGTTATCCAGGAAATTTGAATCATCAATTACTTGGTAACCACCAGCCAAACATGATCCAGAGCAAGGCCGTGTCAAGTATGTAACCATATTTCCAATTATATTTCATAGGTTGGTAAAATCTTGTTTGAATTTTCCTGTATCAATTGACAATTTCATACTTCTTATTCTCTCTTTAGAAAATGAACAGGATTTAAGAATTAGTAGTTACTTGTTATGGGTACATCTTCAAAAAAATATTCTTACACTTTGATAGAATAGGCACGTTCTACAGACAAAACCTGAAATACTTGGCATGGCCCTGTGGACTTGTATCAGATAAAACAATTTCATCAAAGCTTGTAAATGTCTTTAACAGCATTCAATTTTCAATTTTAAGTGCAAAATCTGTTTTGTTCTCCAATAACCATGGCTATTTCAATTTTCCACCTTGTTGCTGAAAGGTATTAATAATCAAAACATGTTCAGAAAGTCCCTACCACAGAGATTCAACTTAATATTATAAGGATAAAAAAAAAGACATTTTAACATTAGTGTAAAATTTGCAGCACAAAGCTGCTGAGGACCCATTGTTCAATATATAGGTATATATGACGGGCCTTAAACACAGTGCTGAGAGCCATAGTATATAATATACATAGGGAGGGCCTTCTACACATTTAAATACATGCATAAACTACACTTATCACAACCAGGTAATGTGATGGAATTTTCCTCAAAAACAAAAAAATCCATTCCTTGTACAGAAGGTAACATTCCACTGGTGACCTCCAAGTGACCTCTGTGACATCAGATAAACTGCCATCAGAGAGGGTCGCAGCTCTGCACACAAACCTTACACACCATACGCAATGGTACAGCAAGTTTCCTTCATGGTAACGCTGCAATGCAAGTGTTTGTTACCATTGTCTGCATCAAAGTCGTCCAAGAATTGGTCCATATCAATTGTCATCATTATATGCCAACAAAAATAGAATCAACATCTGTGGTACCACGCACCAGCAATATATTGTATAATATATAAATGTTTATTTCACACAAAAAATGTGAAAAGTAGAATATAATGAATAGGAATGGTAGAGTGGTCTTGGACCAGATGCGAGTAGACAACAAACACAGAACGTCACTGCCGCAGTTCCTGCAGGCTGTTATGAGAAATGCTGGTGTCAGGTGGTTTGACAAAACATGATACTAGTAAAAAGTTGATTTGTGAACCATTTAAAGTCTTTGGAAAAGGCATATATTTGTTTTTGAACACTTTGTGCTCTTTGGGACAACATTGGCATTGTTTCAGTGACTGGATGTGAAATGATCTTTAATAAGGATAAATGATGAAATGAAACAGCTATTTAAGAGTTACGAAATCTAAGTAACATAAACCATGACATGCAGAAAAAAGTGCAATTTTGGCGATAATGTTTGTGACGTAAGAATCAAATATATATAGGATTCAAATAAAGGCTAGAAAATGCATGTGTTGGTTTTAATTCCCATAGAGAAAGTGTCAGTAAAACAACACCAGAGTTGACCCATTGCATTCTTGGTTTGTAATGAAGAGATGATAAGCTTTCAGGCAGGTTGATATGTTTGACATATGTAGATGATTCTGCCAATCATCATCATCATCATTTGATAATCACTTATTATATTTAATTGTGGTGTAATCAATTCGGCTTCAGAACACCTTTGCCTGTGACATTTTTAACCCCTCGCTATTTTTGTGACTTTAGTAATCATCCTATGATTGTTTTAAGTAGTTTACCATCCACGGGGTGGTCACATATTAAAGGTGCATGAGTAGTCCGATGGCACATCCACACTGAGACAGACTGATAAAACATCCTCCCAAAATGGCTGACAAGGACTTCAAATGTCCATTCGCTTCTTAATATTTGTGACCTTGACTTCACTCACTCATCTCCTCCTCTTGCATATTGCTTTCTATGACATCATGCAAGAGTTCATCCACCGAGTCCCCATCAGCGCTGATTCCCTTCTCTTCGAAATTCAGATTTGGAACCAGAATACTAAGCATACGGACCACATTCAGTCTTAGTGTACGGAGTTTGGACTCATGCACACAATTAGCACATTCTCCAGTGCCCTTCTCTGAGCACTTATGATCCTTTTCTGGGCGTTCTCCTAGTCCCGACATCTCTAGAGCCTTTAGAGCCTCAAGGTGACCGTTGTCACGGAGAGTGTGACTTGGCATGGCCTTCTTGCTCAGATCAATAGCACCATGGTTGTTGATGCCACTCTCCTCCATCTGATTGTTGCGAATTTCCTGTAGTGGCATCTGAGACTTGGTGGTACTGTTTGTGACCAGAGGCAGTGGCTGCTCCTCCACCGGGGCTGGTTGTTGATGCACCTTAAACTGTGGTGGGAAGTTACTCTGAACAAAATTGGGTGAAGGAAACCCATTGGCATAGTAGTTGGGACTAGATTTTTGCTGCATATTGTGAGGATGTGACTGTGGATTCCGTTCCCCTCCAATGTGGGTGGGGCGATTCTCCTGCTGAAGATGGCTTCCCATTTGCTGCTGCTGTTGTTGTTGCTGCTGCTGTTGTTGTTGTTGGGGAGACATCATCATCTTCTGCATGGGAGAAGTCATTGGTTGACCTTGACCCTGGTGATTTGGAGAGGTCATGACCTGTGGATGCATTGAAGTCATAGCATGTGGATGTGGTGGCATTGGAATATTGTGTTGTGGCATCAAGAGTGACTGTTGTTGATTTCCATGGTTATTGTGAACATTGTGTGGCATCATTGATTGCTGTGGTGAGATCTTGTACATGTCTGGTATGACCTGGGTCAAATAGCCCATGCCACGAGGAGAACGGTTTCGCTTCTCCTTGATGTAGTAGGACATGATACCATCGTGTTTGTTGATGATATGACTCTTTAGACTGTGACTTTGGCTGTACTGGACTCCGCAGGCACCACAGATATATGGTCGCTCCCCTGTAACAGAGAGGTACACAAAACTATCAAGTCTGAATGTATGAATGTCACTTATTAAAACTCATAGTAACAGGAACATCCAACATAGTGCTGTATTTGTCCTGAAATAAGTCCAGGAGGTCAAAATATTATCAACTCAAAGTAGAGGCCTATCATAGTCAACAAGAGGCTCAATGGACCTTGTATGTATATATACCAGCCAAATATCAAAACATTCGGGCCAGTGTGGGAAAAAAATACCTTTGGTTTACTATTGATTTCTTCATGCCCACTAAGTTTGATCAAGTTTGTGATAATATCCTTGATGTTCAAATCATGATTGGGACATACCATGATGACAAAACTTAAATATGAAAAAATCAGGAAATATTTGTAATAAAATTTTGAATGAAAAGCAACTTATACAAAAGCTCATCAACAATTCAAAGCAAAGAAAACAAAGTTTATTCCACTGAAATATTCTTTAACATATCCTCATTTTTCTAAAAACGTTTTAATTAGAGTATGCAAATATTTTAGATTTACATTTTAGCTTTAAACAACAATGGTACTTATAAGTATCTTTTGGACAGTGAGAAATACTACAGCGTAAACTCTCCATGGTAAAAAAGCATGAATTTAAAAAGTACAAACAAACCAATTTCAGGTCCCATACTCCTCCATTAAGGAAACAAAATGCTTTAAAATCTAACAAAAATGTGTTATCACATCAGTGTATTAGCACATTTCACTGTACTGTTTGGAGGCTCTGATGGGAAATAACAGTTCACAGAAAAAAGGAAGTGGATGTCAAATTACCTGACCCGATCCCCCAGTGGAAATTTAAAGGGTACTCGATTTTTCAGGACGCACTATCTCCGTAAGTGCAAATTAACCACCAGGAGATACAGAGGTTCTAAGAAGCCAACTTAAGATTGACATGTTTTAATGAAAACCTGCTAGTGATGCACACCGAGCTTGCAGTAACTGCAGCAGCAGAGTAAAAACAATAGAACAAGGCTGCAATCCGCTCTAGCTCCATTGTCAAACCTACAAACAATAGTTTCCCTGCACATAAACCCAGCAGAGGAGCACCAAGAGCATTAGGGTTACTAGGGGTGATGGATTCTTGGCTTTTAGTTAGGGTCTCTTCCTCGGGCACATAATCAATCTTAGTGACATCAAACACTGCAAGCAGTTTAATTACTTTACTTACTGAGGGTGTCTTAGCATGTCTAACAAATGAAATGGCCATATTTCAAGATCCCTGTTTCAATCAAAAGACATGGCGCTAAGACCATGAATACCATCCACCTCTAAACCTTCTTTGCTAAACACAACTCTTATCAAACACAGAGAAATGCACCATTGTAATTAAAATATTTTAGAGTAGCTGCAGAGTTTGAGAAAAACATGCTTGGCAATCTTCCAAACTCGAGAGCAATTAAAGTCTGTCACATTTCCCTTCGATTGAATTTCAGAATAGTGTAATTACTGAATAATAAGCCAAGAGATCTAACAAGCAAGAGTTGTCTTTCCTTACACTTGTACCAACAGTGATGAAACGTGCATCATGAAATAAAATGAAAACAATACTGGTTTCACTTGTTAACTTTTTGCCACCATTAAATTCCTGCAATCTTACGTTAACCAGAAACATCAGATCAAAATACCTCTCTGCAAGTTTTATAAAATGGAGAAACCCAGTTTTTCAATTACATTTCTTAGACAACTAGATTATCCAATCTGTTTTCTGGAAACATATCATGATTTAAATTAATTTCAAAATCAATCAAGTATTTCAGATGTTAATAAATGGTTAAAATTGTAAGGAATAGAAATTTGAATCATAATGCTACTCTTCTCAGATAACTTTTTAAATGTTAAAGATTTTGTTTGAAATTTTGTTTGGTTTTCGAGAGAATAAATCAAATATTTTCACAACAACAAAATAATCAATGAGATGGTCATTACAACAACGTTATAATAAATGGGGTTTAATTATGAACTGAAAAGCCAGTGGAAGGAAACACCAGTTTCATATCCATTTCTAAAGAACCATTATTAATTTCAAACCACACAGCTTTTATTGAACAAAATGAGAACGAAAAGAAAACACTGGCCAACAAAATCCACACAAGATTTTCTTTTGATTACCAAACCAATTTATCATTGTTTTAAACAATTGAGTGTCTTTTTAAAATTCTTTTTAACACCTTTGTAACAAATAAATGGCCAACTTAAACCTTGATACAGACAAACAGATCTAAGATTATTGAAACATCCAGTATCACACCTTTTATCATAATCTTTGGTTTGAAGCCATTAAAACAGGTGTCAACAACAAATATTGGAATCCCTTGACAAAAGTTTAGACAAGAAATCTGGGAAATGGTGTTGTTATATTCCATATGGAATATCATTGATAAACTGATTCAACAACTATACATCAGAATTTGTTTAATGGCTTATCATCCTGTGAACAGCGAGGGCCCTATTTAGGTAGTTATCTTGCAGTAGTTGGTGCTACCTCACTGAACAACATACAGGAGGCCCTCACATGCCGTCCTGAACAGTCAGGGTAGTGTCTTCCCCAATACACAACCATGACAGCATAGACTGGTCCACTTCTCAGCTTCCTGAGAAACATAGACAGCAATGGGTAGGGTTTATCAAACCACATATCCCAAATCTTCCCCTGAGGTTATGACGGCTAACGTTGAGCTATCCTTACCCCTCAGAATCTCATAATTAACAACCAGACTATAGAAAATCCTAGGAAATTAGGACTTCTTACCAACCTTCAAACCATTATTCAACAATAAAACCACCTAAACCAGCACTTAAGCAATGAAGACAATTATGAAGTATCATTCTTTTGTGTCCTACTCATGACATTTCAGGAAAGCCACACTATAATCATAACATTTCAGGAAAGCCACACTATAATCATAACATTTCAGGAAAGCCACACTATAATCATAACATTTCAGGAAAGCCACACTATAATCATAACATTTCAGGAAAGCCACACTATAATCATGACATTTCAGGAAAGCCACACTATAATCATAACATTTCAGGAAAGCCACACTATAATTACATAGTCCCTGCACTGACCTATCACCTGTAGATAACCTTTATGAAAAGATCTTAGCTGTAGCTGGGATAGACAATGAACTTGTGTTAGATTAATGACTTTGACAATTCCAAGAAATTTATGAACAAAACAAGTCTGAAATAAACGAACTTGACAATTTTTGGAAGTTAATCACCTTGACAACTACTTGATGCTATTCAGCTTAACAATTCTAAAAAAGGACAAAGAACCAAAAATCATTGAAGGCGTTTGTTCAAAAGCATCTCGATTGTCATTGCATTGACCAGTGTGCACTTACCGGTATGAATGCGAAGATGGACGTACAGGTTGCTCTGGTGCTTGGTGGTATAGGGACAATGTGTGCACTTGAAATACATGTCATTGCTATCTGATGATTTTCTCCTCGCTGTGCTCTTTCCATGGTGGGTGTTCTCGATATGGTTTTCTAAATTCTTTTGGCGTCGGAATGTCCTTTCACAGAACTGGCATTTGAGATAATCCTTCTCCACCTCTTGTGATGTGGGAAATTTGCCATCAAACATCGGAAGAAAGTTTGGATTTAGATGATGTTCCAGAGGACTTGGAGGAAACGGAAACAAGGGAAGACTATTGAATGCTCCATGAAACCAATTACCGTTCTGTTTTGGAGTATTGAAGTCTTGTGATTTGTTCCCTCCTGTGATCTCGGCTACCTTGTCCATGATAGCATTGATCTGCTGTCTCTCAGGGGACATATCTTTATTTTCACAACCATCTTTGCTGTCTTTGCCATTTTCTATTTGTCGCATTTGGTCTGGTTGGATGTTCTCTGTATCTAAGGAAATGCTGCCATTTTTATAGGACATACCATCCAGACCGTTCATGTTCCCATTAGTTGTGGGACCACTACTAATACTAGGTTGCCTGTCATTGTCGCTGGCCTTCAGGCCTGATATCTGCATAGGAGCGCCATCCACTTCATCCTGCCCACACCTCATACCACACATACCATCCCCAAGTTTTGGGTCACCATTGTGCATGTCCATGGAGATGGATCCATTGAGGGTGTCCTCTCCATCATCTTCTTCCTCTTCTTCACTATCACTATAGTAACCATTTTCCGATCCTTTCATGCGTCGCACAATGTCTTCGATTGTCTGTTTACGTCGGGATCGATGTTTCTCTGGAGTCTGACAAGGGGACTGGTCTGATCCACTATTTTGATCCATGCTATCGAAATCCATTTGCTTTGGACCACAGTCAAACCTTCCATGGTCCAAATCGAGCTGTTTTGGAGACAGCTGTGGTGGGCTGTTTTTTGGGGTGTTCATGCCTTTGAATGATAATACCTCATTTTGAGGAATATCAGAGTGGTCAATGGAGGGTGGGTTATCAGGACTAGGTGTCATCATGCCCTCTGGTGGCAAAAGACGATAGTCATGAGATGAAGTACGTAGTGATAGATTACGATTATGCTCATAGTCGAGTGAGCCTCCTTTTGGGGAGAACTGATCCTGTTGCTGCTGCTGACGTTTGTTACACTCGCCCAAATTTGACCTTGGAGAGATGTCCTGGGGGCATGGTTTGTAGGAATCATTTGACCTTGGTGAAACATCTGTCAACAATGGCTTGGTATAGTCATGTGATGCAGAACGGGGTGATATGTCTTGCTGCAAAAGTTTGTAGTCGTGCGAGGCAGTGCGCGGAGACACTTCCTGGGGAAGCAGCTTATAGTCATGTGGGGATGACTGAACAGATGGATCTGCAGTAACCACACAAGGGTTCTGAGACTGGAGGTCCACCACCATGCTTGGTGTGGAGAATCGCGGACTAGATTGTGGTGGACGAGAGGGGCTGGGCTCGGATCTCACAGGCACACAAGGTATCGAAAACGTTTCTGGAGGGCTTCGTATGTAGGAAAACTTCTCCAAGTCACTCTGGGTTCTGATGCACGAAAATGTCTCTAAATCACCTTTTGCAGGACTTCTGATATAGGAGAACGGCTCAATTTCCATTATAATGAGACATAGTCAACAAGTTGTGGTCCTCCGCGTTCATTCATTTCTGTAAAGATACAATGGGAAATTCCATGTAAGGTATAGCATTTAGACAAAATACAAAACATCGTGTTTAATTAGACAATATCAGTATTCTTTCATATAAAATTGTTCAGTATTTCATATAAAATTGTATCAATTCCATATGGAAGATTTTAAGGAATTAATAACTCTGGGAAAAACATACGCAGGAAAATAATTTTTACAGCATATTTATTGAAACGTAAGAAATAATTTACATGTACTTCAAAATCAAAATTTAATAAATACCTTTATAAACTATAAAATAAACTTTGATAGCATTAGACTTCAAAAACATTACAATTTAAAACTTTCCCATAATCAGAAGTCAAATAATTGTGTCACAAGATTGAAAGTTAATTGATTCCAGAGAAGCCAGTGGGGTACTTGTATGAAAATCAAATACATGTAAATGACTCCATATAACAACTACAGTGTCAGTTCAGTCACTTTCAATTTTGTTAAAATATTCATGAAGACCGTTCACTAATGAAGCCATGAGAACAACTACAAAATACAGCAACATCCATGGCTTGAAAATCCACGAATTAACAAAATAGAAACAAAAAAATATCATTTCAAGGCAAGCTAATTGAAATCCAAGCTTATTAAGGTTGGAATGTTGTTTTTACAAGGACTTTTAAATATGGTCAGGTTTTCCAAAACTTGAAAGTAAATATAAAATATTAGATGTCAAGTGAATCAACAGCAATATATGTGATGGAAAAATGAACATGAAAATGTAAGATTTTACTTACAATATGTCAAAACAATCCAAAAGAATTTAGTAATCCAACCTGATGAGAAAATTTGTAGCGAATACGCCAGAATCTTCAAACTGATACTACAGTGATGTAATATGAAGAATGATCTTCAGAACTAAGTAGTGTATTGTAAGGCACCATGGAATCTTGTTAGTAAAGATGACCATATATAGAAGTGATCTGTAAGTGACTAGTTTCCAACTCATACTAATGATTCATGTAGATTGGGTACGTGTGATTCACTTTTTTTACAACAAAGCCTGCACCACCAGTAATTTTCTATGTATCAATGTGTCATTTATACACAATGTTGTTCTGAGTTGGCTGCTGGGACAGATCTTTTGTCATCACCATATATATATAGACCAAAATCATTTAATGCAATATTTTACTGAAGCTAAATCCACAAATACCAAAATCATTACAAACCAATACAAACAGTGGAGACAATGAAGATAAATATTACACAACACATGTATTGCATAATGATTAAACATATTTATATAATACAATGTGAACATTCTATATCAGTGCTTTTTTATTATCGAACACCAATATTTTATTTACCTAGTATCAATAGCGCTATCATCTGCTATTGCAGGCAACACACATCTAACAGATATATATTTAATGCGTGAGACTTAGTCAGGTTTCCTCCGAGACTGGTCTATTAACCTCTAGGGACACGACTAGCCACGATTTGTTACCACTGAACGCACAGAGCCTTCATCTGGTCCTAACCCTGGCACAATACATACATGTGGGTGACTTCAGTTAAAAACAACGTCATTACATTGTTGATGCATATACAGTCATTTCAAGTATGACTGTGGATGAATCACGTATACCTAACAAAAAGATCAATGGAGAAGTTATACTTTCCTATAAGCAGTAGATCAACACCTTAAAAACTCCAATCTATCTGTGTGTCAAATCCATTAATAATTTACAAATCAAGTTTACAAGGAGCATTTGAATAATATCAATATTATATATAATATATGTAAATAAATATACAGCATTAATTACATTCATTTTATAGAATGGTAAATAATTTTCCAATATCAAAACACTAAACTGAAATTAAGATAAAAGTAAATATGACAATGGGTTAATAAAAGGCTTTGTCTCTTTACCTTGAGTGACAACGTTGTGTTTATATATCATCCTTCAGGTTTAAAACCCGAGTTTTTTATGAGCAGATTTGTGTCATTGTTTGGTTTCCTAGTAACACAAAGTGGAATAAGGTGCAAAAGTATATTACCTTAGGCTGCATTGTGTGTATAGTGTGGAAAAGCCATATGTCGGCCTAGCCTGCCTCAACCAATACAAACAACTCAGTTCTCCCCATCTACCTATACATAGCCAGCCCTTATCCAGCAGACCGATATGACATCATGCTTGTCTCTTTGTTTGAATTTATTGGTAAGTATGTAAACATGGACATCTGTCATATTCTCTAGACAATTTCTGAAGTATATTTAACCTGAAGATTATGGCTTATAGGTAGGAACGACTGCCGTTAAATGAGTATTCAATGCCGCACCTATCTCAGAACTGGTTGTCTCGGAAACGAAGCCAACCAAAAGATTATATTTAGCGTCAAGTATCATGTATTTGAATCTTTCTTCAAACATTTGATTTTAAACATGGCTAGGCCTAAGAAAACAAAGCCATTGTGCTTACAGAGGAGGTTAGGGACGACAAAGCAGTCCCACTGTGTACAATGGTATATAGGGAGGCTACACTCAACACTATAGCCTGTCCAATACCGCCAGACACAAAGGAATCTTGGCCAGCAGCCACAGCCTGGGTCTACCAAGACTACAGTCTATCCTTGTCTTTACATCTAATATTACCCTCATTTTCATTTCATCTGTTCATTCCCCACAACTAAAATGGAACTTTGTCAATCCTCCGGATTTTTGTCATTTTAATCTCACCTACACTATCTCAACATCATCTTATATCAGTAATATCTCTCCCTAATCATGTCAATGAATTCTTTTTGTTTTTTATCTACTGTAACCTTCTGTTGTCACACTGCAATAACCTTAACATCCTAGCTATCATCCCTGTCTATAGCCCCATCACTGTAACATCCCCAGCATCGCATCACTATAACATCCCTGACATCACTATAACATCCCTAACATCACTATAACATCCCTGACATCACTGTAACATCCCTGACATCCCATCACTATAACATCCCTGACATCCCATCACTATGACATCCCTGACATCACTGTAACATCCCTGACATCACTATAACATCCCTGACATCACTGTAACATCCCCAGCATCCCATCACTATAACATCCCTGACATCCCATCACTATAACATCCCTGACATCATCATCCCTGACATCACTATAACATCCCTGACATCACTGTAACATCCCCAGCATCCCATCACTATAACATCCCTGACATCACTATGACATCCCCAGCATCCCATCATTATGATATCCCTGACATCACAATAACATCCCTGACATCCCATCACTATGACATCCCTGACATCACTGTAACATCCCTGACATCACTATAACATCCCTGACATCACTGTAACATCCCCAGCATCCCATCACTATAACATCCCTGACATCCCATCACTATAACATCCCTGACATCACTGTAACATCCCTGACATCACTATAACATCCCTGACATCACTGTAACATCCCCAGCATCCCATCACTATAACATCCCTGACATCCCATCACTATAACATCCCTGACATCCCATCACTATGACATCCCTGACATCACTATGACATCCCCAGCATCCCATCATTATGATATCCCTGACATCACAATAACATCCCCAGCATCCCATCACTATGACATCCCTTTTATCTCATCATTATAACTTCATCATCTTTCTGATCATTATAATAATTCAAAGAATTTTAAATGTTTATGAATTACTTGTTACTTTTAGAGTTTAGTTAAAGGAAAAGATGTATTTTTCATCTCATCTGAACAATTCAGATCCAGCGGTAACAAAATACATTTGTGAACACTGCTGAACTAATTTTCACTTTTCAATAAACAGTATTTGAATAAATCTGAATACATTTGTTTAGTTATGATTGTACATAAGATTTATCCAGTTACCACAGAAACCTAAAGTTAAGGCAAACAGCATATGAAAAAGAATCACTCGTGTGTCTCATGGTTGACCTATCAAAGAACTTATTCAAATAGTGTCAACATTATCTATTTAAAAGGATTCTTGCTGTTACATATACAACCTATATGGAACATAAAATTTGAAGAGTTATTTTGAATATAGGCGTCCTTTTAAATTCAAATCCATCTCTCTATTATGGCCATAACAAAAGAATTGAAAAGACAACATTTCTAAATGGGCCATAATTTGCAGAGTTACTACTATACAATTTTTATGTGTCATTTAACGGAGCCCACCTGGCAGAAATAGCCATTGATGATTGGTTTAAAACATTTCCTGTGCACTCTATGTATTGTTTCCATGGCCACCACTTAGACTTTATACATACCCTTTGTTAACAAGGGTACATGTAACACTACACGTCCACACAGACGACGCGCAAGAGAAGCCACTATCTAAGTACACAGCTAGTGGGACACTACGACCAATGGTGCCATAGGCAGACATTTCTATCCTCTCTGTCAATACTCAGAAACCTCCATCACATCTGCTTCCTCATGGCCAATAAATAAAATCTCTCTTTTAAGCTACATTGTCATTTTTTTAATTAAATCAACACATTTTGAAACTATAATGATTACAAAAGTTATACATAATTTGAAGTGCTATTCATCCCAGAATACGTTGAGTCAATCCTTAACTAAAGAAGATCAATACTGCTGTGTAATCAAGATACAAATCATGTAAATTTTCCAAAACCATAAAAAGGGTCAAAATTTCATGTACCAATTGTCAAAGGAAGAAATTTGTGTAGAAAATGAAGCTGAAAACCTCAATAAAATTTTTCTCGACATCACAATTCTCTCAACAGCAATAACTTGTCTTTTATATCTTACAAGCGTGACAAAGTTAAAAAGAAAGCAGTTCTTACAAGAGATTTCTATCTCCTCCAAGCTTTATTTTACAGTATCATCACCCTACTAGAAATCAACTCCCCAAGGAAGGCTGTATGAAGACCCTTGGTAACAACAGTAC